TGGTGGGAATGCAAAGTGGTGCGGCCCCTCTGCAAAACCACTTGGCAGTTTCTTATCTTTTGGTAGGGGAGGTAGTTTCTTTTAAAGAAGAAAAGTCAGAGAAGGTATAGCTCAGTGGTAGAGTGCTAGCTTAGCATGCACATGGTCCTGGGTTCAATCCCTCTTACCTCCTTTAAAAAACATATTTTGAAAAACTCGCAGGTAACAACATGGACCAGCAATTGCACTCTTTGGCATGTATCTCAGAGAAATGGAATGAAATGAAATGTTCACTCAAAAACCTCTCCATGTAGATTCGTGGCAGCTTTATTTAGAATAACCCAACCTGAACCAGACCAGACATTCTTGCACAGGTAGAGGGTTAAACAGGCAGGGGGTCCACTCACCCCAGACACTGCTCAGAGGCACAGAGGAGTCAACTGCTGCTCCATGTTGGGTAAGTCTTCAGGGAATTAGGCTGAGTGAAAATGGCCAATCCCAAAAGACCGTATGATTCCATTTATGTAACTTACTTGAAATGACAAAATTTTAGACATGCAGGACAGGGATTAGGGACAGAGGTCTGCATGGTAGTAAAGGGGCCCATGGGGTTGGAGCTGTTCAGTATCTTGACTGTGTGGTGTTTCCAGAACCCACGCGTGTGATAAGATGGTATAGAACCTAAACACGTACGCGCGCGCACACACACACACACACACACACACGAGGACATGTAAACGGGGGAATGTGAATAGAAGGGTGAACATGTGTGCGTTATACCACTGGGGAAGATTGGACAGAGCATGCAAGCCATCTCTGTGTTATTTCTCCCAACTGCATGTGGATCTACAGTTACGACCAAAATTCAAATGAAGAAAGGAAATTGGGAATTTGCTGGAATGAAGATTAATCTTGGAGTAACCAAACTTTAATCTACGGCCAGGTTAATTAATTAACCAATTAATTAATTCAGGGTCTTCCCAGGAGTCAGTCTCCCCTGACCTTTAGCCCAAGAACTTTCCTACCACACGACTAAGGGGATAGAAGGAGCGATGGGGACAAGTCACAAAGGCCAGGAAGGATGACCCCAAGTTGATATTTCTTCTGAGAGCTAGAGGATAAGCAGGGTCAGCAAGGTGAGCTGGTGAACAGCAGGCAGAGGGAGGAGGACCCAGGAAGTGCTGCCTGAAGGGAGGGAGGCTGGGGGTGGGGCTGGGCAGGGAGATGCTGGTGACCAGCGCAGGTTGGCTCAGGTGTAAGGAGGCCTGGGTGCAGACTGGGGACCTTGGTCCACTGGAGAGGGCGGAGCTGAGAGGAAGTTGTTTTAAGGTCTTAACTGTGGTAAAAAAAAATAATAATAACATAAAGTTTACCATCGTAACCATTTTTAGGTGTGCAGTTCAGTGGTGTTAAGTATATTCACATTCTTGAGCCACAATCTCTGGAACTTCGTCATCTTTCAAAACTGAAACTCTGCATCCATTAAACAAGGAGTCCCCAGTCCCCTCCTCCCAGCTCCTGGCAGCTACCACCCAACTTTCTATTTCTATGCACTTGACTACTTGAGATACCCAGTGTAAGTAGAATCACACGATATTCATCTTTGTGACCAACTTACTTCACTAAGCATCACATCCTCAAGGTTCATCCGTGTTGTTGCATGTTCCAGAATTTCCTTCCTTTTTAAGGACAAATAATAATCCTTGTAGAGCTGTGTCACATTCTGTTCCTCCATTCATCTGTTGCTGGACACTTGTGTTGCCTGTACCTTTGACAATAGTGAACAAGCTGCTACAAACATGGGTGTAAAAATACCTCTTGTAGGTCCTGCTTTCAAGTCTTTCAGATATACACCCAGGAGTGGGACTGCTGGATTGGAAAAATGCTTTTGAACCCAACCTCGGCCCCCTGGAACCTCTTAGCTCCTTATCAGAAGCTATTACTGTGAGTGTGGGTGGCCTGTAGAAGGAACAGATTCATACCTTGCAAGGGAGCAAGGTCAACTTCCTGAACAGTGGACTGGGCCCAAACCTGCCTGCCCCATATAGGCATAAACACACACAAATGCACACATGCCAATGCCTGCTCAGCCAGCCCTCGGTAACTGGAGATACAGACAAGGCCTCCACTCTGTTTTACCACCAGTCCCATGTTCTTCCACAGGAGGAGAATCTGGGCCTAGGGTCCTGGATGTGCCTTCTACCCAAGTGCCTGCTGCAGCTGCCCAGGCCAAACCTGGTGAGATGCTGAGTGGGTGGCAGGGCAGCCAGGCCACCCTGTGTGTCTGGGCCTCCCAGAATCAGGAACCCAAACCCAGGCCCCTGGCCAAGGCTTCGTGCTTAGAACCCCACCTTCTTCAGCACCCAGACCCAAACCAGACCTAAGCTGACTTTCAGAAAATCCTGAACAGATGAGGTGAAGGAAGGCGTGATGGTTCTAATACAGGACTTGTGAGCAGGGGGTTGGCAGGGCCCCTGTGAGGTTCTTGCAAATGCCCCTCAGGCAAAAGACATTTCCCCCTAATCCCCTGCACCCTCCCCTGAGGAGACAGCTGGGGACCATTCCATGAAAATTGGAGCTGCCTTTTTCAGGACCTTTGCTCCCTCAGTCACACCTGCCACTTTCGTTCTGGCAATATGGCTTAGGTCACCAGGCATGAATTATGGTGGGGGGGGGGATAGGTCAGTTGTAGACACATACTGGATTCAATCCTCAGTATCTGCATTAAAATTAATAATAAATAAAGTCACAGGGCAGGGGCAAGGGCAGGATGTGGTCACCAAGGGCACTGGGAAGGACATGGAGCCTTTTACAGCAGGAACAAAGTCCTCCCCTGATTTAAACCCAGACAGCTTGTACCGCAGCTCATACAATCTGTCCCAGCCTTGCTCAAGTTCTGGCCTCCCCAGGGTCCCAGCCTTGCTGCTCCTGACATCGCACAGACATGCAGGGGGCCTGGGTGCTGCTGCTGCTACTGGGGCTGAGGCTTCGGCTCTCCGTTGGCTTCATCCCAGGTAATGAGGCATCTCCCAGTACCCCCCTCACAAAACCCCCCACTGCCACACGCAGGCCACTGCTCCATGCCTGACCTGGCCTCCACTCTTCTCTTGAACAGCTGAGGAGGAAGACCCAGCCTTCTGGAACCGCCAGGCAGCCCAGGCGCTGGAAGCCGCTAAGAAGCTGCAACCCATCCAGACAGCTGCCAAGAATCTCATTATCTTCTTGGGGGATGGTGAGTGTGCTAGGCTTGTCCATCCCTTGTCCTCCCCACAAACTTGGAACTCAAGGTTGCCGGCACACACTGGCCAGTTCTGGGGACTCAGGCCTGACATGTGCACCTTTAGGGATGGGAGTGCCTACAGTAACAGCCACTCGGATCCTAAAGGGGCAGATGAATGGCAAGCTGGGACCTGAGACACCCCTGGTCATGGACCAATTCCCATACCTGGCTCTGTCCAAGGTAAGGGCTGGGTGACCTCAGGGAGCTCTACCCTAGAGGGGTGGGTGTGGGGTTAGGGAGCCTGGCAGGAGGGAGGGCCCCAGGAGGGCTGGGGCCTGAGTTAGGGCCCAGGAGCAGTGGGAATGGGCCCAAGGGCCTGGGTAAGTCAGGATCTGGGTGTCTAACCCAGAGCAGAGTTGAAGGCATCTCTGCCCCCAGACTTACAACGTGGACAGACAGGTGCCAGACAGTGCAGGCACCTCCACTGCCTACTTGTGCGGGGTCAAGGCCAACTACAAGACCATTGGTGTAAGTGCAGCTGCCCGCTATGACCAATGCAACACAACACATGGCAATGAGGTCACCTCTGTGATGAACCGAGCCAAGAAAGCAGGTGGGCTTCAGGCCAGCTTTGCGGGCAGGGGTAGGCTCACAGATCCCAGGGGCCCATCATGACCTCTGCCACCCACAGGGAAGTCCGTGGGAATCGTGACCACCTCGAGGGTGCAGCATGCCTCTCCAGCCGGCACCTACACACACACAGTGAACCGCAACTGGTACTCAGATGCCGACCTGTCTGCTGATGCGAAGACGCAGGGCTGCCAGGACATCGCCACGCAGCTCATCAACAACATGGACATTGATGTGTGACGGGGGGCAAGGGATGGAGCTGGGCAAAGGGGGAGGGACCCACACCCACCACAGTGCCAGGCAACCCACCGCCCTGTGGCCTGCCAGGGTCTCTGTGAGGTTGGGGTGGAGGTGACTCTAGGAGGTACAGGTGGAGACAGACCATCCCCGTAGACCTGGTGGGGGAAGCTAGGGGCTATCTGAGGAGGGAGCAAGGGGTTAGCCAGGCCCCAAGCCCACCTGCCCTAATCTCTGTGCCCAGGTGATCCTGGGTGGAGGCCGAAAATACATGTTTCCTGAGGGGACCCCAGACCCTGAGTACCCACAGGATGCCAATCAGAACGGAGTCCGGAAGGACAAGCGAAACCTGGTGCAGGAGTGGCAGGCCAAGCAGCAGGTGATGGGGGCTCACGGGTGCAGGGGTGCAGCGGGCAGGGTTGAGGGTGCAGAAATATGGGCTGAGACCTGGTTCTGCCCCTCCCAGGGTGCCCAGTATGTTTAGAACCGCACAGCACTCATGCAGGCGTCCAATGACCCCAGTGTAACACATCTTATGGGTAATGACCCCCCCCACACTGTCCTCCCCAGGTCTTCAGGGTACAGAGACATGTGGGCCACTAACCCTCCCCATTACCAGTCACCACTGGGTCCCCTTTCCCACAGGCCTCTTTGAGCC